AATGTTGTAGAAAATCAGTGTAATACAATGGCAGCAAGCACACAAAGATAGCATGTGAAGCAAACTACAGAAAATTACATTTGTATTTCTAATTGACCCAAGATTCTCTTCCACCCTCTTAGCACATACATAAGCCAATGCGCTAGACCATACCATGATCTGTTGATGAAAACAAGCCAACTATGACCAACGGAGTTCTCAGCAAGGAAAGTGTGGCTATACATGTAACCTGTACTAATGGAGAATATTGATTTATAGGTAATCTTTCAAACATAACAAAAGGGTTAATTGCTGATAAACCATCTTTATATTAGCACCGTCTTTTCAAAATTCGTCCGTGACATTTGTAATGATTTTTTAATGTCTTATACTACGTACAAGACTACAAGTAAGACCTATGACATGTCCAATACTAAATTCTAACGGTAAAAATGTAAAGCTCTAGGAAAATCTTTTCCATCAGAAAATGTTCATTTAAAAAAAACCAAGATGGGATTGATGTACCTATTTATCAGCCAAAAATAAAAAATAAAAATGGAATAGCTTATATTTCCTAACATAAGCATCAATAACACGACTATATAATATACACTTACATTGCTGAGTACCTAGTAACTTCATCCTTTCTATATGAAGAAAGGAAAGACATGGAAATAACAAGAGTTGACAAAGCTAAAAAAAAAAAAAAAAAAAAAAAAAATGAGCGGTTACAGCGCATGTTAGCAGGCGATTTTTCCTACTAACATACGCTACTGCTGAGTTCTTGTAATGGCGAAAAAGAAAAAGTTTAGCGGGAAAAAGATCCTCAAATCGGGATTAGGAGCTTCTATCTCATTTCCGATCGATCATGCTGATTGTTTGGATGTTAATTCTGTTGATAGTGAGGATGAAGATAGTTTCCCCATGGGATCGATGGGTCCAAAAGGAGCGAGGAAATCCAAATCGATGACGGAGATTTTGTTAGCTTCAAGTTCCCTAAAGGGATCAAATCTTGATTCAACGTCTTCTCTGAAGAAGGGAGCTCAAAATCTTTCGTTGATGGCGGGAATTCAAGATCGTCAGCTATCCCCAACGGAGGACCCCTGTAAGTCTTCAAATTCTTGTAATGGCGGGAAGAACTCTGCTAGGGTTTCTTGGGCAGAGGAGGCCGATTCTGAGTTTCCATCTGGTTCTTTACTTAGCTCTGGGCCTGTGATTTTGAATTCAACCATTGATTCTTTGAATTCAAACAAAAATGATGTTTCACTGACTGGAAATAAGGAAAATAAAGTCAATTCAGATGAATCTTATGATCCTCTTTTAGAGAAATCTAAAATCCCTGCTAAGAGCTGGAGTAGCCTATTTTCAGATAACAGGAGGCCTGAGAATGGCATGGTGCTGGATTTTCTGCCTTCTGTCTCAACTGATTCAGTGGTTTTTGATGAAGAGGAATGGAATGAAGGAGCTTCAATGTGGTCTTCCTCTGTTGTGGGGCAGGTTCTTGGTTTGAATGCAAGTTTCAAGGCTATGGAAAGTTATGTGCACAAAGTATGGCCTCAATCTCCAGAAATCTGTCTATTAAAGGCAGGTCTGTTTCTGTTTAAATTCAAAGGGAAAGATGAAATGAATGAGGTTCTTTGTAAGGGACCCTGGTTTTTTGGATCAAGACCAATACTATTAAAACCTTGGTCTATAGATGAAGAAAATAATAAAACTGATGAGTGTGTTTACCCCTTGTGGATTCAACTTCCTGCTTTGAGATTAAATCTGTGGTATTCCAAAGGTATAAGTAAAATTGCCAGCTTAATTGGGAGACATATTGCTACTGACATGTTAACAGCAAATAAACAAAGGCTGTCATATGCTAGAGTCTTGGTAGAGATTAAATTGCCATCCCCCCTTCCTGATCATGTCACCATTCAAGGTCCAAATGGCGTTCTTGGTTTGAATGCAAGTTTCAAAGCTATGGAAAGCTATGTGCACAAGGTATGGCCTCAATCTCCAGAAATCTGTCTATTAAAGGCAGGATTGTTTCTGTTCAAATTCAAAGGGAAAGATGAAATGAATGAGGTTCTTTGTAAGGGACCCTGGTTTTTTGGATCAAGACCAATACTATTAAAACCTTGGTCTATAGATGAAGAAAATAATAAAACTGATGAGTGTGTTTACCCCTTGTGGATTCAACTTCCTGCTTTGAGATTAAATTTGTGGAATTCCAAAGGTATAAGTAAAATTGCCAGCTTAATTGGGAGACATATTGCTACTGACATGTTAACAGCAAATAAACAAAGGCTGTCATATGCTAGAGTCATGGTAGAGATTAAATTGCCATCCCCCCTACCTGACCATGTCACCATACAAGGACCTAATGGTAAATCCTATAATCAGAGAGTGGTTTATGAGTTTAAGCCAAGATGGTGCGATTATTGCAAATTTGTGGGTCATGATACTAGTTTTTGCAATAAAAGAACTAAAATGCAGAAATGGATTCCTAAGAAACAAGTTACTGGAAACAATAGTCAATCTGGTTCCATACTCCATACAAATAAAGAAATAGATGAAGTGGTAAATAAGGGAAAGTCTGTAGTACAAGAGCACATGATCACTGGAAATTTCCAATCTCCTGGGCATGTGGTGCATGTTTTGGGGGGATCTTCAAATTCTGGAGTTAAGTCTACTCATACAGGAAATCCTGAACTGTCTGGTAATATTGGTAAATCTCCACAGTTTGAACATGATTTACAGCATGGGAGGAATCTTGAAGTGAATGTGAGTACCGGTAAGCCTGTTCAGGAAACTGAACAAAGGGCTGTGCATGTTGTGCACAGCCAGCTACCAGAATCTGATGGTTCTTATGCATATAATCCATGGAGACATGTTCAAGGTAATAAATCCAAGTTGTCTGGAAACTCTCTTGGTGTTGTTTCCCAATCTGGAGATAATACTATAAAGTCTGGCGGTAAGAATGCTGGAAATTCTTTCCTATATTTGGAAATTTTGGATTCTGACCCCTCTACAATTGATAGAGGAGGACTGTTCTTTAAATGAACTTATCCTTTTGGAATGTGAGAGGGTTAAATAAACCCTCTAAACATTTGTTGGTTAAGCAGCACTTGCATCTTTATCACTTGTCTTTTATCTCTCTTCTGGAAACAAAGATTAAGGAAAATAATATCAAGAAGGTTACAAAAAGAATTGCTAAGGATTGGGAATGGATCTCAAATGTGACTAACTCTGAGAAGGCAAGGATTCTAATATTATGGGATTCTAAACTCCTAAACATCCAACAGCTGGACCTCTCAAGCCAACAGATAACTTGCAGGATTACATCTACTGATGGAAGATTCTCAAGTGTCATATCAGCTGTGTATGGATACAATAATGTTCAAGCTAGAAAGGATTTATGGTCAGAATTGTCCCTTATACATAGATCAATTGGAAACATGCCTTGGATTGTCTTTGGAGATTTTAATGCAGTTTTATGTAACGAAGAGAAACTGGGAGGATCACCAGTTACTGATTCTGATACTTTGGATTTCAGATCTTTCATTGATGATTGTCAACTCTCTCATATGAAAACTCTGGGGTGTTTTTACACATGGAACAATAAACAAGACCCGGATACAAGAGTTTGGAGCCGTTTAGACAGAGCTCTTGTAAATGATAACTGGATTCAACAGTTAACTTCTAGTCATGTGGAATTTATGGTTCCCAGGCTATCTGATCATTCTCCTGGCATAATCTCAGTTTATGAAGACTGCTCTTATGGAAAAAAGCCATTCAGATTTTTTAATATGTGGACAAAACATGCTGATTTTCTACCCACTGTGTCTGATATTTGGCGTTCTCAAATCAATGGATTCCATATGTATTCTGTCTGCGCAAAGCTAAAAAAGTTGAAAGGAGCTCTGAAGACCTTGAATAAAAGACACTTTCATAATATAAGTGAGCAAGTCATAAGAGCAAAAATTGGAATGGAGGAAATTCAAAAGAAACTTCAAGATGACCCCCTCAATCATACACTAATCTGTCAGGAAAGGAATTTTATTGCTATATATAACAAACTCTTGGATCATGAAATTTCTTTCTTCCAGCAGAAAGCAAGAACTGCCTGGAGTATACAAGGTGACAGAAATACAAATCTTTTCCATTCTGCTATTAAGGCAAATAGACACAACAATAGATTCTCAATTCTCTATAACAGCCATGGAGATAGGCTTACTGATGGTGATAAGATAGTAAATGAGTTTGTCTCTTATTACAAAAGTCTAATGGGGACAGCAATCCTTACTGATAAACCTGATAAGCATATTATACAAACTGGAGCATGTCTGAATTCAAATCAAGCAAGTAAGCTTTCTAAACCTGTCACAAGTGAAGAGATTAGAGCTGCCATCTTCTCAATGCCTGACAATAAGGCCCCAGGCCCTGATGGGTTTAATGCTTATTTTTACAAATCTGTATGGTCAATCATTGGGGAGGATATTACTTTAGCAATTGGGGAATTCTTCAAATCTGGAAAGCTTTTAGGAGCTTTGAATTCTACTACGATCACTCTCATTCCAAAGGTGCATTGCCCTAAAACCCCAGCTGATTTCAGATCCATATCATGTTGTAACTGCCTCTATAAAATCATTTCAAAAATTTTAGCAACAAGAATACAGGCAGTTATGGGAAGTTTAGTTAACGAAGCTCAAAGTGCCTTTGTAAAAGGCAGGCAAATATCAAATAATATCCTTCTTGCACATGAGCTTGTCAAAAACTATGGTAGGAAAAATCTGTCTCCAAGAGTTATGATCAATATAGACATCAGGAAGGCTTTTGATTCTATAAGTTGGAACTTCATTCAATACATTCTGATGGATATGGGTTTTCCACTGGGTTTTATTAAATGGATTATATGATGTATTTCCACACTAAATTATTCTATCTCTCTGAATGGTAGCTTACATGGATTTTTCAAGGGTGAAAGAGGTCTAAGGCAAGGGGATCCTCTTTCCCCCTACCTGTTCATTCTAGGCATGGAATACCTGACTAGAATGTTGAACCAGCTGAAAGATGATAAAAATTTCAAATTTCACCCCAAGTGCAAAAATCTAAATATAACACATTTAGTGTTCGCTGATGATCTCCTTCTTTTCTGCAAAGGGGATCCTTATTCAGTGAATAGAATTTATCAATGTGTTGAATATTTTGGAGCATGCTCTGGTTTAGAAGCAAACCCTGCAAAATGCTCTATCTATTACGGTGGAGTTTCTGATGAAACTAAGCATGAGATTAGTAATTCACTGGGGTTCCCTGAAGGTTCTCTTCCAATCAGATACTTAGGCCTTCCTCTCATAAGTAAGAGGATGTCTTACATTGATTGCAACCCTCTACTCCTGAGGATATCAAACTAGTTCCAGAGTTGTATGAAGAACAAATCACTGTCTTATGCTGGAAGATTACAGATTATTAAGAGTATTATTTTGGGTATTCAAATTTTCTGGACATCAAGCTACATCCTCCCAGTAAAAGTGCTACAAAAAATTGATGAGCTATGTAGGTGTTTTCTATGGGATAAATCAGAACATACTTCTAAACCCTCTCTGGTATCATGGAGAAATGTCTGTGTTCAAAAGAAATATGTAGGGTTGGGAATCTTCTCGGCAAGACTTTGGAACATTGCTACTGCCCTCAAAATACTGTGGAGTATTCACATGAATAAGGAACTTTTGTGGATTAAATGGTCCCATGAAAATTATCTGAAAAGTAGTAGCATTTGGATGGTTAAAGCTAGAAAGGGAGACTCTTGGATGTGGAAACAATTATTGAGTATCAGAGATAAATGTACTGATATGTGCGGAGGGATTGATAACCTCATTCAGCTCCTCAGTTCATGCTGTAACAATTCAAAAATTAAGATCTCTGACATTTATTCCAGGCTGTCACCTAATACACCTCAAGTGGCATGGCATGATACAGTTTGGGAGGATTTAAGCTATCCAAAGCACCAGTTCATACTATGGCTGGCAGTCCAGGATAAGCTTCAAACTCAAGACAGGCTCCTTAGACATGGAATTATTCAGAATTCAGTATGTAAGCTTTGTGACTGTTCTATCTCAGAGAGCAGAAATCACCTGTTTTTCGAGTGCAATCTGTCAAAAAAGGTTTGGAATGGTATTATGGAATGGCTCAACTTCAAATGGAGATCTTGTGACTGGCATACCCTCTTGAACTGGTTCAATTTCAGGTTGAGGGGTAAGGGTATGAAACAAAAGATTAAGAGGATGGCTTTTGCTGCAACAGTCTATACTATTTGGAATGAAAGAAACTGCAGAATTTTCAATCTAGAGAGCAAAGCTCCTGACATTTTAATGAAGAACATCAAGATAGATGTCCTCACTATCATTTTGAATTCTCAGTCATCGAATTGCAGGGAATGGGGGTTCTCCATATAGAGTATTATTGAGGAGTAGAAGGTACACAGACAGGAGGTGCACGAGCTGAACTATCCCCCTGAGATTTATGTTGTTATGTAATATAGTCTTATTTTTTTGATATCTCATTGTTGAGTAGAGATTCTTGATGTACAAAATTCCTATTTTTGGAGATGAATATAATTTTTTCATTTACCAAAAAAAAAAAAGAGTTGACAAAGCTGGAAATAGAAAATACCACCTTTGTTATGTACATCACCCACGATAGATATAAATGTAACAATATTTGATCCAAAAGAAGTCATCTTGTTAAGGTTTAGGCTCAAGTCCAGGATTCAGCGATGGGTAGAAACATAGTAACACAAACCAAGAAACAAAAAATTGTGATCATATACACTACCGCAGGCACTAAATTTTAGCGTACACGACGGGTAAAACATGAGAAAAGAAACACTGACGACTATGATCTTACTTGATTCCCCATTGGTATGTTGTTGAAGAAGCCTTACGTGATGTCAAAATATTCCCCATAGGATCAGGGGCTGATCCAGGATTTCAAATAAGGGTTGTCATTTATCAAGTCTACTGCCTACTGCCTACTGCCTACCTAATCAATTTGGACTATTAATTATATAAAATGTCAAATTTAAAAGACAAGTATCTAACTAACACCATTACACCAACGAAACATATTTGCATAATTTGTGTAATGGAAATGTTTGCAAAACGGCAACGTCAAGTCGTCAATCGTCAAGAAATTGAATTTCATTGTACCAGTTCCTATCAAGTATCTATGTAATAATTATTCTAATCAATCTTTAATCAAAAACTTTTTTAATCATTATTTTAATTACTATTCACATTCATGAGAAATTGAGAATTAAATCTTTCAAATAGAGTAATAGAGGAAAAGTTTAAACATACCTGAAATTGGCTCAGCTTTGGACTGCTCTGATTTAATTTGTGAATATTTAGATAAGTTTATGGAAATTTAGGATTTCTAAATTTTAGAAGAAGAAAAATAAAAAGGATAAGGGAATGGCCTAAATTGAAGGGGGGAGGGGATGGGATCGTGATTCGTGATCAGTAAAGGAAGGGGAAAGGTCTCCCCGCTCCCGCCTCTTTTAGTTTTTTAACATGAATTGCCTAATTAATGAAAGGAATAAAAAAAATTTGAGGGTATGCAAAACCACTCGAACCTGCGACCTCTAATAGAAATTTCAAGATTTTTACCATCTCAGCTACATATTCATATAGTCTTGGGGTTGTCATATGCATACTATGACAACCCCGTAAATCCGCCCCTACATAGGATCCTCATCTCTTCAGTGGCGCCAAAACTTACCTGTAGTTAACCAAATTTCAGGTTTTAGAACTAGGAGCTAGTTATTAATTCCAATTGTTCTGCCTAAACAATATACTCTAACAAACAAATAATTTATAACTTTGACTTTGTGTCTTCTCTACTCCGTTAATCAAGATGAAGACAATTGCATTTCTCTTTCATACTTTCCAAATGAATTTCACCAAACATTTCCAAATGAATTTATCTCTTCAACTTTACATTCAATAGGAAAATACATCTGATCGAACGCATCATAGTTGAAATGCAGGATCTGGGATATTCTGATCCAACCCTAAAATCGAGGCCACATCGATGATCTGCAAGTAAGCCCTCAAGTAGTCCACTGATACCAAGGGCCGCGCCGGATCAAGAGCCGAGGAGATCGAGCCCGTCGACGGCGAGGAATCGAGTAGCACCCGCTCACGCTCAGTGAGGTGGCCGACGATGGAGGAGGCGGAGCGTGCCAGGAGGGGGGTGGGCTCCAGGGAGAAGGTGGGGAAGGTGGTGACAATTTGGTGGGGTTGTAGGGGTCCTCGTCTCCGTCGCTGGAGCGTTGCGCTCGAAGAAGAAGTGGCTGTACCAAGTGAGGCCATAGCCTGTGAAGGGGACGAGAGGGAGGAGCCAGAGGCTAAAGAAGAGGGAGAGGATTTCGATTTGGGGGGATTTCAATTTGGGAGGGTTTCTTAATGTTATTTTGGGCAGAACTTTTGGGTTCGGAGGGGGAATTTTGATTTTGGAGGGAGGGATTTGGTGTTTAATTTTTTAATATGAGTCAAAACATCCTGGACAGAAATTTCCGTCTAGGATGTATCTTAGACGAAAATTTCCATCTAGAATGCTTAGTTATATTAAAAAAAATTAAAAATATAAAAACCGTCTAGAATACTATCCTAGACGAAAATTTACGTCTAGAATGTTTTATTCTAGACGGAAATTTTCCATCTAATTTAATACAAAATAGACGAAAAATTTTCCATATAGAATATTCCGTCTAGAATAAACGATTTTCTACTAGTGATTAGATATATTAATGTCATTTTTCAAGTACTCTACTTTTAATAGAAGCAAAACTAGCAGTACTTATTTTCAAGAAGGGTTTTCTTTTGTCATATTAGACTGTAAAATATTTCTTATTGTGTACTATGCTATAAATCTTCATAATTCTAATTCACATCCACAGCCTGTTAAGTTATGACAAATAAAGCCCCTGCTTACATCTACTTGCAGTTATTCAATTTTACTGGTATTTGAAATGACTTAATAGATTTTAGGGATATAAAATTGAGAAATATGAAGATTTGTGGCATAATTAAGAGAGGATTTGTAGATTTGGGGCATAATTAAGAGAGGATCTTTAGATTTAGGGCATAATTAAGAGAGGATCTATGGTATAATTGTGATGCCCCTGGTTTCACACAAGGCTGCAGTCCAAGATGAACCCAAGTATGTCAAACCTGCCATGCACCCAACACTATGCAATAATATGTTTCACCATCACGGTAATATCTCCCTAGTTAAAGTCAAACAATGATCAAGTGTAGGTACAAAGTAGATAGGATAAAGATAATAATGCAAGGAACACCATATAGAAAAGATCCAATAATAAATATAAATGTGTTCCAACAAAAACGAAGAAGTACATCTGACAATCTAAAATAAAGTAATAAATCTCTAAATACAAGAGTCAACTGAATACAGTACTAAGGCACTTAGCCTTTAACATGAAATACATCTCTAAAAGAAAACTAAACGTATAAATATTAATTGTGAAGCACTAATGTAAAACCCCAAAAATTTAAATATTTTGCGATAAATAATAATAAATATGTTATATATTTATAAATAACATATTATGATGTTTGAGTATGTACGGAATTGATTTGAGATTAATTTAATGTATATATGTATATCTATAAGAGCAAATGCACAAATCATGCTCGATGTGTAAATCTTAAAATTTATGACCATTAGAGAGATTTTGTATTTTACACACCGATACGTTGTAAATATGGAAAAATTAAAAGATCAGGTAGATATCTTCAGCAGATTTCCAACAAATCTTTAATCACCTTATTCTGAGGTCGGATACGAAAGTTACAGCCAAAATACCAAAGAGTTTGTTTCTAGTCAGACTGGGTTTTCCAGTTTCGGGTTTCGAGTTTTGGGCTGTAGTTTTTCGGGTTTGCTGTCATATATACACATGTTTAAGCACAAAAAATACCTCTTTTCTTCTATATTTCAAACCCTATCAGCCCCTCTCCTCCTCTCTCAAACCCTAGCCCTAAACTTGTGTTCTCGGGGAAGTTTCATGAGGCGAAAGCGAGGAGAAGGCGAGATTTGCGGCGTTTGGGGACATTCTCACATGTTTTTAGGAGTTCATCAACACCCCTCTGGCGAGTAACATCTCGCCGAATCCTACCCCATATTCTTAAAAGTTTTCTAATAATTTTAATGAGTTTTTGTTGAGCCTAAAATGTATATTTGAGTATAAAAAAGATGTTCTTTATAGCATATGATACGAAAACCTTGTGTTTCAGTTTATCAAAAGTCCACCAATGTTTTGGGTAATAAAGATCTAGAGCTGAAACAATTTAATCATGAGTTAAATCACAACTTCTTGTTTTCGAAACGTTTTAACATGTGTGTTTATGCTTGGGGTTTTTGGTGATGTATTTTCGTGTTTAATTTTCACTGCATATTATTATATGACTATTAGAAATGTTAGATTTTTGTTTAAGAATAAATTATCAAGTGTTAGATCTGTTTCGAAGCAGACAGAAACCTGTAGAGGGCTTCTGTCTAAACTAAAAATACAATTGTGATAGGACAATATAAATATACGCAAGGATATATCAATTAACATAAGGGTAAACAATCTAAACTAAAGATACAATTGTGATAGGGCAATATAAACAATACAAACACATAATATGATCACGGAGTTCGGATCTTCCATCTTACGTCTCCATTCCCCACTTCCGGGGAGAAATCTATTATCACAACCGGGTTTTCTATGCTCACCTAAATAACATTTACACATTACAATTCGGTTTTCTAGCTAACCAAAAACTTTATAATCACACACTCTTGTAATCCCACTTTACACCCTCATAAGTGTTGGTCTCTAGTCCGTGTCTCCCTCAAGTGTTAGGAATTACAACCTACCTCTAGGCATTACTACGTACTGCACTCCTCTTGGGACGACCCCGTCTCTCACCACACACTCCTCTCAGTGAACAAGTGTATTACAAAGTGATCTACACAATTAGGCTCACAAATACAACAATGGTTGTTCTCTTCAATGGATAAGAACTCAATTAAGCTCACTCTCAATTGTTATAACTCCCCACAGCCTAATTATACAATGTATGCAAATACAATAAGCTTAATGGTTGTGTGTGTAAGCAATGAGAACATCAATCATAAACTCAATGTAAACCCTAGCTTGATGAAAATGATAAACAACAAATAATTAATATAAAGCTAGTATTGAGTTTAGAAATTCTTCTCTGAAAAACAAGATGGAGAGATAGATTGAAATGAAGCTCAAATAATGTAGATGATCTCCTCCACTTGTAAGAAACTTCCTCACAAACAAACTCTTTTAAACCTCACTAAACAAACTTTAAAACCCTTGTTAAACTTGTTTAAAACATTCTCTTTTGTTATTTAGAAC